GCAGCCCTGAGAAGACAGTTCTGATAAGACAGGGAAAATTGATGTTAGACTTTAAAAACATGCAGCTTAAATTAAACATTGTGACTAAAAAATAGTTTACTAAAGGATGTGATCAGTTGTTCTTGTCAGCTCTAGTCTATACCTGTCAGATAATAGGATACATATTATTATAAAAAAGATCAAACTTTTATAACATAAAATGTATTTAAAAATTCTTGCATGACTTGATGGATTAGTGAAACAAAGATGAATCACTGACTCAAAATAAAAGATTCACGTCACAATTATCTGTGATCATATATTTATGCTTTTTACTTTCATTGAGTAAAGACAAGGGTATGAATGTAATGGAAATCCATGTAAGTGACTCCACAAAAAAACTAGGATTGTAGGTCCCATGCAATCCAGCTATTCTCCTTCTGAGTATTTTCACAGAATTGAAAAAATTGTCACATACCACAGTGACATATGGGCACCCATGTTTATAGCAGCACAATTTGTAATAGCTAAATCTTGGAAACAACCTAAATGCCCATCAACAATTGAATTGATAAAAAGATGTGGTATTTTTATACAATGAAGTTTTACTCAGCTATAAAGAAGGAGAAACTTGAGGCTTTTATAGGTAAAGGGATGCAACTTTGGACCATATTTACAAGTGAAATAAATCAAACTCACCTATGTAAATATCATTTTGTCTCCTTAGTATAAACAAAACTGAAAGAGTAATAATATACAAAAGATATTGTGAAAATGAAAGAGAAAGAAAATATTCAAAAGGAAAGGGTGACTGGAATAGGGGAAAGGAGAAGGAAAAAAGGAAAGATTATATATACATAGGTATATATATATATATCACATATATGATAGATAACTATGCTACAAATCTCCGAAAGTTCATCAAAAATAAGTTTGTGCTCTCATTGTTCGATTGTTTGATCATTTTATGCCTAAATCTTATAACAATATGCAATATATTAACTCATGTTAGTTTCCTACTATTTTTTAAAATTCTGTATCATTTCTATCTTTTGTTTTTAAAACAAAAAAGAAAAGGCTTAACAGAAAACCTCTCTCTTTCTAAGATAAGGGAGCTGTTTACAAATCATCAAGAGGGCCTTCAACAGTTAATATACTGGCAACTTGATCTTGGATTTTCTAGCCTTCAAAACTTTGAGAAAAAATATGTTGTTTAAATTACTCAGTTTATTATAATTTGTTAAAGAAACTCAAGGCATGACATAGGTATTTTGGGTAAACCAAGGAATTTTCTCTGCATAGAACATGCTGTGCTTTATCTTGCTCATATTTTTGGTAAAAGAGAGAAGGCTGCCATCTGAACAGGGTCTCAGCTATAAAACGACATGGGGTGTTGCTTGTTAGTGGGAAACACATAACTAAACGTACCCCTCTACCTGGGATACAGATTCCTTCCTGCATGGTCACTTCTTGAAGAATAAAGCAAATACCACAGAGAGAAAACAGAGACAGACAGACAGACACAGAGACACAGAATATGAACATAAAACATGAAGCACCTACACTAATCTCTTTAAGGGCGGAAGCATGGAGAAAAAGTGGTGATGGGAGGTGATCAAAGCAACTGGAGGAAAAAAGCAGCACACAGATTTTGTATTTAAGTTCATCCATAGATACGAAGTATCCACAGATCCTAGTCAAAAAATGTGAAGTTACTTTCCATTAGATTTCCTAGTCTGATTTTTTACTGTGGAGGACAGGTAGTTCAGGAGAGGGGAGACCAGAATAGGACAATGAGACCATTAAACTTAATTGTCAATTTGACTGCACCATGAGACTCTTGAAAAGGTGCCTGGATCATGGGGTGCTCTGTTAACCAGTGGATCCTTCCACAGACGTTCACAGAGGAAAGTACTGTTAGGCAATGGGGTCCAGCTGGTGGCAGGTCGCTGGAAACATGCCTTTGGACGGCGAGTCTCTGGTCCTGGCACTTTTCCAGTGTAAACCAAGCAGTTTTGCTCTGCCACACCCTTCTACCAGTTTTGTGCCTTGGATAGTCTGAAACTGAGAGCCCAACAAATCTCTCCTCTAAGTTGTAGGAGTTAGTTATTTTGGACCAAGAAAAGGAAATCTGACTAACACTGATAATAATTTTTAAAAAACCTTTCGTTTATTTAACTCTCAGGAGGAACTACTGTGCTGTCTAATTAACGATCTTACAGCCAAGTTCTTGTCATCAGTTTGCAGATTTTTTTTCAGCAAATGTGATCAGCAAATGCCAGCCTCTCTCAACACCTACACTTGTTTATTGCTTCATAACCTCCATCTTCCAACAGTTGGTAGGAGCAGAGAAAAATACGAAAGGGAAGAAAGACAGCTGGTTTCAGTGAAAATGGCAAGCAGGGAGCCTTGTCCCATGGTGTCCCAGAGCATGCTTCCGCTCAAGGATTGGTTTGTTAAATTTTCAGAAATATTGTGAGCCAGCTGACACAACCACTATTAAAAATTAAATTACTCAAATAGCTTTAGATAAATTACTGAAAACAGAAGTACTAAATATCTAAAATTCATCCTCAAATTATTTTACCATATTTCATGGTATGCTTTGGAGGTTATATGTGGCTATTCTATTTGTATGATGGAAATCCTAAAGTGAACTTGACATTGACCAAAGTTACAGCAAAAAATTTGAACACACTATAAATCAGGAAGTGAATTATTGCCTATTAATTGTCTAAACTCAACAAAGTGGTGGAGAAATATTTTATTATGCATCATAAAGCCAAAAATGTGCCATATCAATAGCTGTAACCACCATGTCAATAGCTCAACAGAAACTCAGAAATTGATTTTACAGAATTTGGAAACTATTATTCAATTCAGCAAAAATAAATCTTCTTGGTAATGTAGTGTTAAACACCCTTTTTATAATTCATATCATTTATGATATAATAATGTAACATATGTATATGCTTTATTTTTTAAAATCAGTGAATATCAATTATCTCTTCTTCAAACCAGTGAAATGGGTACTTTTCTCAGAGAATGATTTTAAGAGTAAAACAAATGCTTATATCAAAATCCTGTATAGATTGTAAATGTTAAGTGTTACAAATTCAACAAGTGTTGCAGCTCTTAATATGAACATTAAGAACTTGTAGATTTTTCAAAACTGAATGTTTACACACTACCTTCAAGCTGTTTCTAATCTAATGATATAAGGCATATGAAAATAAGGTGAATGAGTGTATAATATGTCATTACAGGAAAAATCAAACGGCTATGAGATTAAAGAAACATATGTGTATTTTTCTTGAGCAACATGGAAGATAAGAAATTTTGCATCTGTATCAACAGAAATAGTTCATAGACAGTTGTGGCATTCTGGACTGATGAATGCAATTACAAAATGTTATTAAAAATATTACAATGTAAATTAAGAAAATTATTGTATTGATAAATTTGCTGCATGAAATACCATAATGGTCTTTTCACGTAAAAATAGGAATTATGGCACTGTAGAATATACAGTTCAGTGTGACTATCCACAATCTTATAGAATCAAGGGTTGATTAAGTAAAATTTTGATTTCCCAATATATAAGCTACGAGAACCATGAGTTGTCTTTGGCTTTTTCCTTAGAAAAAGATACTTCATGTTCAAGAGAATTTTAATATCAGTTTTTTCAATAAAATGCTATGAAATATGTTTCAAATAAGTTTTTCATGGGGCAGAAAGATTGCCTGGTGGATTCCAAAACCTGTGGCCACTGATTTTAAATTTATAAGAAAATAAGTTATGCGTGCATTATGTCAACTTGAGTGCATCCAAAGTGAAGTCTTTATGGAAGACACATAAAAGAAAATTGAGGCAAAGGAAAAGTGAAAAACATTTAAGAAACTTTAGGACACTATTTCAACTTTCCGTTAACAAGTATTGCAAAAGTTGACATTACTCAGTGAAGTTCATTAAAAGCTTTTTCTCTTTGTTTATCAGAACAAGGTAGGTAAACCTCTGTAGTTTGTGAGAAAACAAATGTAAAGCTGCTATGAAAGCCTGGCAAAGCACCTGCAGACCTTGTGTTAAGTGCAATGAAAATGCATGTATGTAAATCTGTCACACACAAAAGACTGCCTTAAGAGGCTGGTTCGTGGCCTTGACCTCCAGTCACCAAGGAAGAGCCCGCAGGTTTAACGCAGATTCCAAAGGGATGAACAGTACTTGCTCTGATAGGAAAGGTCTCTTTCTCTACACTCTGGCTTCCAACTTCCTACTGCACTCACCTCTCTGCAAGGCACCAAGCCAAAAAAAGAAAAAGCGAGTTCCCTCTGTCCTCTTGTTAACAACAGCTGTCGGTCTGTCGCCGCCTGACCATGAAATACCTCAAGAAAATCTGAAGCAGAATTGTAAGGGCAGGGGTCGAAATGACTGTTTCAAAAACACACAGCTCTCCTTTCAAGAGGCCAAGGCTCCTCAACCTCCGCCTTTCAACCCGCTGAAGGTAAGAACCACTTCACTCCTAACTAAGAGAGCTTAACTGCTGCTCTCACCCCAGAACTTGTGTGTCCCCATACACCTTCCAATTAAGCAAGAAACTGGAGCTCATCCTAGAAGAGCCCACAGCGCCTGGATAACTTCGGTAACACCAAGGTGGCCAGACCTAGGTGTCCCACTGAGGGGCAAGGGAATCGCTCATCCTCCGGGATCGCCCAGGCAGCGGCACCTGAACCACTCGGCGACATTCCCCCAACGCGGGGGGAGGGGACAGAGAGCCCCAGAGCACCGGACGGAGCGAGACCGCGCCCTCCGGAGATTCGAGCCGCAAGTGCACGCGGCTGGAGCGCAGAGCGAGCCGAATCCGAGCTGCGGGCAAGGCTGGGTTGGCAGAGGCGCCACGTTCCCTGGCCTCTGACCGCCAGCTGCAGCTACGCGGAGCAGCCCGAGTGGCAGGTCCCCGACAGGGTCCGGTCACCGGGTGGGGAGAGGAGAGACCGGCGGAGGCGTGCGGAGCACTCACTCACCAGCTGCAGCGCGCAGAGGCAGATGAGCGAGCAGCGTCCGGTGCAGCAGCCCATGGTGCCGGCAACTCCCAGAGGCCAGAGATCCGAGTCCTCCGCGCCGCTGCCACTGGACTCCGGAGTGGTCCCTTCTGGCGCTCGCCGGTCCGGCCCAGGCTCGCCGGCCAAGCTGCGGCTCACCGCTCCCGAGCTCCGAGCTCGCGCCTGCCTTTGTTAGTTTCCCGCGGGGCGGACGGAGGTCAGTAGGCTGAGCTAGCCCCGAGCGTCTGTGCAAGTCCCCAGCTGGGGAGGGGAGCCGACTGGGGCGGGGGCGGAAGGAGGCGACGTACAGATGGTGAGTGGGTGACTGGGGGAGGAGGATGGAGAAAGTGGGAGTCTGAAGAGTGGAGTGCGTTGTCTGAGTCCAGCGTGTGTGTGTGTGTGTGTGTGTGTGTGTGTGTGTGTGTGTGTGTCTGTGTGCGCGCGCGCGCGCGCGTGTGGTGGGAGGCGATGAATGAAAGGGAGTGCCAATGGGAAGGATTGCCCTGTCTTGTTGAGAGTCTCTAGGGGGAGAGATAGAGCAGCTGAAAGAAAGCAGACGAGCGATAAGAATGAGCGCGTATTAGGGCAATCAGCGTTGACCGAGACCCCCGGGGCGAGCGGTGGAACTGGCAAGATGCGGTCTGAGTCTCTCCGCAGGCTGTTGTGCAGGGGATTGGCTGCGTGGTCGGAGACGTTTGTAAAAGAGATGACAAGGTTTAGCTGGGCTGCCCGCAGGCGGAGAGAATTGGGACGGGTTGGCGTCCTGGAAGGAAGGACCCAGGAGCGGGAAGAGGGAGGTGGGAGAGCGCACCCGAGCGCTAGACCGAAGTCCGGGAGGGGGCTGGTGCGCAGCTTAGCTGCGGGGCTGCGGGCTGAGGTTGCCTTTGTCCACCGCAGTCGGTTGCCAGGAGGGCGCCCCTACTGGAGTACGCCAGGGAAAGTTGGATGGAGTTGGTCAGCAAGAGGAGCTGGAGAGGAACAGAAGGAAGAGCTGGGTCGCTGGGAGATCTGGCTCAGGGTTCTCCGCTCAAGCTTTTTGAAATCCTCCTTCAGACCAGAGAAAGAAAAGGGTGGATGAGTCCTTAAAGGAACGCAGAATGTTTCCGGAATAAAGATAAATACGATATCCTCCTCCATAGAAATACATTAAGAAGGGCTCGTAAGTATGATCTGATCCTGTGTAGCTAAGATCCCTCAGGAGGTTTCCGTGAATCCCAAGGAAAGCGGCGCTCTCCCCTACACACCTGCGTTCTGCAGAGAGCTATATTTCATTAGATCTTGCGGTCACATTTCCCGGGCGCATTTTCTTGTACCCAGTGCAACTGTGCACATAGCTCAAGAACACAGGGGAAGTTCAGGGAACGGTCCTCTGCCATGGTCTCTGCAAAGACTTTCTGCAGAATTTGGCAAGGAAACACTGTTTCTAATCCACTACTGTTCTCCTGGGTCTTCTGTGGTAGGTTGATAAGAAAAACTGTAAGATTATTTAGTTTTTTGAACGTTTTTTCCATACATAGAAACTCTTGAAACACTCGTTCAGGCAGTAAGGGGACTTTGGTCATTAACTGTTTTGCTGTTGACTCTTTTAAATCTTTTTTTAAAAACTTATATTTATATGTGACAGTTCTAATTGGTAGGAAAACCTTATGATATCTTTGAAGTGCTGGTAGAGACATATGAATGATCTCAGGGTTTGAGCCTGTGAAAGTCAAGGAAATTCAATTTAATTCAAATTTACAATCAGCTTCTGCCCTTTATCATGGAAAATAGCCAGTTAGAGTTTTGTTTTGTTTCCTTTGTTCTGTTTTGTTTTGTTTTTCGGGATTTTTTTCCTTCCAACCTTTAAGACATTTATGATCAAGACTTATGTAGACATTCATCCCATCTTCATTCATGATAAACGAAGAAAACAGGGAAAATGGACCTTAGCCAATACATAATTGAACGTGTGTTAAAGGTCACTGCAGAAAGCCAGGCTATTGACCCCTACAAAAGCTACAGCAAGCAGCTGCGGAGTGAGAGGACATAAGCAAGTCTTCTGCCTAAACTTTCAGAAAGTTTACTTTAGCCTCATCTCCAGAGTCTGTGATGAGTGCTGGAAATAAAAGAAACAACACTTTCTTCTCTCCAGATTGTGTGTGTTTACACCAACCTAACTTTATCCACAATTTATTATTTGTTTATGAAATACTCTGCAGCAACTATTGCAAAGTGGAGCCTCACTAGACACCTGTCTAAATGCTACATGTATTCTTTCATGTAATCTTCACAACAGCTGCAGGAGGTAGTGGCTATGTACATCCCCTTCAACAAAATGTGGATTTTCCAACTACCAAACAGGGCCAGTAATGTAAAAGTAGGTAAATGACAGTAGTACTACTAGATGTCACACTCACTGTGTGACCCCTGAAACATTAGGTACCAGTACCACTTACCAGCAGAAGAGCAAACCTTTCCCTCAGAGGTAGCCATCATATTTTTTGCTGATCTAACCTCCAGAGTCAGTATCACCTATTTAGAAAGATTTTCAGAACCCTGGAGGCTCCCAGGTATGTATTTTTTCCTCGCCTATTGTCTCTCCTCCCAAGAAATCTAGATTGGAATTTCTTTGTGTGATTTAAGACAATTGAAAAATACATTTATCTTAAATACATTTAAAGAAATGAATGTAACACAATATTAGCAACAAAATTAGAAACTGAATGACATTTCTCTTTATTTCTCTCTGCAATCTTATTCTCCTCTGCAAAATCATATTTAGCACTGTGCATAAGACCTTCCCCTTTCTTTCTTTCTTTCTTTCTTTCCTCCCTCTTTCTTTGTTCCTTCAATATTTTCTTCATAATTTTTTTCTGGCTGCTTGGTTTGCAAATGTTTAAGATATTATTCCTTGTCCTTTCCACAAGGTGCTTATGGTGTGAGCACATAAGGTCAATCCCTCTCTGACATAGCTTGGGACCAAATGCTATATTCAAGTTTGATGCTTTTGATAGACAGGGAAGGCTTGAGCAAAGAATTATTTATCTCTTGGAGAGAAGAAAATAGAAAATGACAGACCAATGGATGGAGAAGGAGAAGAAGAAGAAGAACAAGAACAAGAAGAACAAGAAGAAGAAGAACAAGAAGAACAAGAACAAGAACAAGAAAAAGGAGGAGGAGGAGGAGGAGGAGGAAAAAAGAAAGGAGGAGAAGGAGGAAGTGTGGCCTGAAAAAAAAAAAAAAGAAGAAGAAGAAGCATCGGCTGGAGAAAATGCTAGAAAAGGTGAGTGAAGAAACCAAAATGTAAGTAGAATAGTCCATAAAGTTGTCATTGCCATTTTCAGACTCTCAGAGAAGTCACTTTGCTTTCCTGTCAATCATAGATTTTCTCATGCGTACAGTGGGCATGATTCTGTAACTTGTCTGGCAAGACTGCCTTTTGGCATTTGTTCTTCCTCATCTTGGTGGAACTTGTACCCTAGCCCCATGAACCTCACCTCCATTGCAAACACAGAGAACTAAGCTGAATGCATCTTCTGAAATAATGTCCCAGTAACTCTCTTTTACTTTTCATTAAAACACTTGCTTTCTGTACAACTTCCCGTACTTCCATTCAAACACAGTGCTGCTTCTCCTGTGCTTACAATGATTAAATTTAATATTTGTTGAATGAACGATTATGTGCATTTATTTTTATTTTTTATTTTTATTTTTTCAAATTTTATTTAAAAGGAAAAAGAGAAAAACAAAACAAAACAAAGCAGTGTAAGGGTACAAGTAATACAGAACTACAAAAAAAAAAAAAAACAGTAAGAAATCACCAGTTAATAGATTACATATTATCATCTTAGAGATAGTTGCTCAAATCACAGTATCAAAGCATACAAAGTGGACATTCAAACAGTGAGACTGTAAACAGTTGTGTTCAATGATCCAAACAAAAACATTAATATGGTCAGCTATTTAACACCCCTAAACACACTTGCTGTTGTATCCTTTAGAGCTCTTTTTTTCACTCTCTTTTTTACAACAAAATTTACACATTTTGGGTTTTATTACTTCTTAGTTCTTATTACTTTTTTGGGGGGGAGAGAATAAAGTCAAATATAGTAAAACAGAGCTGTCAGTCAAAACCAAGGGTAGACATAGCACATGATGTAAAACAGAGTACAAGGTTATCAACAATGGTTATCAACAAGGTCTCTTTTTCCTTAAAAAGAATTGTCTACCTCATTAGGTATTATAAATTTAAAAAAAAAAAACAGTAGAGTACAAGACCAATAAAACTTAAGCATTGTAAACATTACAGGACTTCCAAAGGAGACAATAGTCAAACCAGAATGGGCATCTTAGTGAATCTTATTGCCTTCAAAGTAGTTGCCTATACCCTCAAACTTGATACTATCATACAGAATGGAGCAGAGTCTAATCAGTCAAAACAAGATAGTGGGAGTATTATAGGACTTCAAAACAAGTTAATAGGAAATCAAAAAAAGTTACTATTATATATCCTGCTAATTTTTTAAATTTTTCCCCTTAATTAAAACAAACATAAGAAATAACTAAATAATTTTTTTAAAGAATAAGGGAGAGATTGAGATAAAACAGGAAATAACAATATAACAGTACAGGTCAAAGCATGACTGTTTCAGCAACCTAGTGTTTCACCACCAAATAACCCGACTTAATAGTAGTTACCATAATGTCTGTCTTTTTCCTTGAAATATTTGAATAAAACTTCATATACTATAGCTTCAAATATTTCCATATCAAGAAGCCCAGAATATAGAGTTTCCAATTAATAAGTGAAAACTTTATGAGGCTTCAAGGCCACCTAATGGGGAATCATGATTACTGCATATTTTTATATACTTGAATCATTACTTACATTAGGGAAACTACTCGGTATTCACACATACTAGATTGGTTTATTTCACCTATGAGTATGGTCTCAAGCTGCACCCATTTATTGATAAATATCTCAATGTGATCCTTCTTTATAGCTGAATAATACTCCATTGTATAGAAATACCACGGCTTTTTTATCCGTTCCTCAGTTGATGGACACTTGGGTTGTTTCCAAGATCTGGCGATTACAAATTGTGCTGCTATAAACATAGGTGTGCACATATCACTGTGGTATGATGCTTTCAATTCTTCTGGGAATATGCCTAGAAGTGGAATAGCTGGAACAAACGGGACTTCCATTCCCAGCTTTTTGAGAAATCTCCAGATGGACCTCCACAAAGGCTGCACTAGTCTACACTCCCACCAACAGTGTAGGAGAGTTCCTTTTTCCCCACAGCCTCTCCAGCATTTGTTGTTGTTGGTTTTCTTGATCCTGGCCATTCTTTCAGGAGTGACATGGAATCTCAGTGTGGTTTTAATTTGCATTTCTCTAATGACCAATGATGATGAACATTTTTTCATGTATTTATTTGCCATTT